CAAAGAAACTGGCCTTACAACACACCGTGCTGCAAATAAGATTTGAACCCATTTCTATAAACTCCCAGTCTAAGGTTTCCTTTTACTCGATGGAAACTCCTATATCAAGTTGAAGACATGAATCATTTGTTCAGTTTAATTAAGTGTTCGTAAACTGAGCATGGGCACTGGAGACACAGCGCTGGATGAGCCGGGAAAATCCCCTGCTCTCACAGAGCTTAGAGGCCCAGAAGGAAGGTGGACAGTAAGTTATGTAAGGTGTGTTATGATGAGACCCACTTCAGATTCAGTACACGATGCAACGGAGGCGCCTCATGCTACCTAAATCCAGTGGATCACAGAGGGGCTCCTTGAAGAGCAGACTGATGCAGGAGTAGGTGTTACCCAGCCAAGAAGGTGGCTGAGGGAGATAAAAGAACAGAAAGCGGTCCTACGGCTGGTGTGAGTGATCCACGGAGCGCGATGGCTAAACCAAGGATTTTAGAAATAATCTTAAGGACAACAGGAAAGGGAGGAAACCAGACCACATTGGGTGTGGATTGAGAGCAACAGAGAGCCTGGAGTCCACGTGGTTCAGCTTAGAGTCCCTCGCCTCCCATTACCAGATAATGTTAAGAATGCACAAATATTTATTTTCCTAAAAGACTGAAGGAAGAGAAGCCAGCGCTCTTCTTCAGTTCAGACAATTTCTGTCTGCTAAATAGCTGCTGCATTCTAGGGCATGTAATACCTGTACTAGGCGCCCTTCAGACTCAAGGAGCAAGTAACTATGTCCTGGTGTCTGCTTACCCATTACATTCAGAGCAGTGCTTACGAGCACCTCACTGACAGCAATCTGATGGGAAGACAGGACAAAACAAAATGCAACAGCTCGGCCCGTCTGCAAACAGCTATTAGGCAGACTGCTTAACATTTTAACAAATAACCAAGTTGATCTCAGGATTACCTCCGAGAGTAAGAGAATTTGGGAGTTTTATTTTTTTAAAAATATTAAGAACAAATTTCAATTTTATGCCACCAAATTACTTTTTGCTTAAAAATATGAGTGCAGGGCTTCCCTGGTGGCACAGTGGTTGAGAGTCCACCTGCCGATGCAGGGGACGCGGGTTCGTGCCCCAGTCCGGGAAGATCCCACATGCCACGGAGCGGCTGGGCCCCTGAGCCATGGCCGCTGAGCCTGCGCGTCCGGAGCCTGTGCTCCTCAATGGGAGAGGCCACAACAGTGAGAGGCCCGCGTACCGCAAAAAAAAAAAAAAAAAAAAAGGAGCAGGTAGCAAATTGACTCCAGAAATGAAACTGTTTTCATCACAAGGAGACATTTTCAATGTGATTTGACAGTTTTCCATCAGCACGGATCAAAGAACATCAACCAGTGGACTAGGCCCTGGAAATATTTATGACTGTCCAGTTTGCTTTCTTTTTTAAAAAAGACAAACTATTCACAGTTTTAAAAGCATTTGTATAACTTTCTTCTAACACATTATGCACAAATTTTCATATCTCAACATGGAAAGGATTCTGGTTGTATTTGAAAGGTTCGAGGGTATGTAATAAGCCTCACCGTTCACATATGATTTCACTGATACATTCATGCAACACATGTTGAGTGACTGTGCCAGACAGAGGACACAACGTCCTGCTCTTATGGAGCTCACAGCCTGGGAAATCCAAATGGAATGATTAATGGTTTTAGAAAGTGTTTCTTTTGCTTGGCCGTTCTTCTCACTACTACCTCTAATTAAAAATTTAACGCTCTATTTTATAACGATTTCCAAATATCCCTTTCTACTATTAGAATTGTGTGAAAACACTCTTTTTCTGGGTACCTGTCATTCAGTGTTATGCCATAATGGCTGACATCATGAACTTATCAAGAGTTTCACTGCCATGATTCACTCTAGTTGATGCCTTATGGTCAAAAGGAAAGAAAGGAAAGGAAAGAGAGAGAGGGAAGGAGGGAGGGAGGGAGGAAGGAAGGAAGGAAGAAGGAAGGAAGGAAGAAGGAAGGAAGGAAGGGGATGCTAATGAGCATTGCTACCTTTGAAGCTCTTTACGGATAATGTATGATAAGAAAAGAAAAAAATTGAAACAAAAAATTTGGGGAGCAGAAATCTGGGAGCACAGAAAAGAGAAAAAGTAAACTAGAACTAGAATTGTGCAACAAATTAGAATTATTATTATTTATTTTATTTTATTTTATTTTGCGGTATGTGGGCCTCTCACTGCTGTGGCCTTTCCCGTTGTGGAGCACAGGCTCCGGACGCGCAGGCTCAGCGGCCATGGCTCACGGGCCCAGCCGCTCCATGGCATGTGGGATCTTCCCGGACCGGGGCACGAACCCATGTCCCCTGCATCGGCAGGCGGACTCTCAACCACTGCGCCACCAGGGAAGCCCTAGAATTATTTTTAACCGAACTTGAGAAAACAGGAGGTTAATAATCCATGAATGCAATCTAAGGAAAATCCTCAATTGCTTAAGCTAAGGATTGAGGAAATCTTAAATCAGATGTGTTAGCAAGAGGAAATAAATTATTACAATTCTTTAATTCAACATTAAATAAAATTTCAATCACCAGTTCCTCTTGTGAAGTCTACCAAGCGACTTGAACTGTGTCTCTTGCCTAGAAATAGGTCAGTTAAATAAATGATTGCAAAGGAGTATATGACGATGTCTGATTTCATGAGTCATTTAATGCTTAATAACAAAAGCAAATCAATCAAGGGGGAAAATATCAATAGTTCAAATCTGTTGCATCTGAGGTTTTAAATTTTATTTTGCTTCTTTAATTTTGAAATCTCAGCATTAGAAATCAGAATTTTTCATTACCTTTCTCTTTCCTTAAGTGACCGTTTATTGAATTCATTGTATTATATATGGAAATTTTAAAATGCAGATTGTTTTACTTCAAAGGTTTTTTAAAAATGTTGATTGCACAGAGAGAAGGTGCTGGGAATAAGAATTCACACCTGCATACAAGCAGGCATTTAAAACAACTGTCCATCATTTAAAATCTGCATTCTCATGCTTTAGCATCAGTGAGTTAAAAGAGGAACTTTACCACTTAGAGTTTCCATCAACCTGCATTTACTGATCCCCTGCAGTATGAGCCCTGTGGTTTCAGAGCAGCACAACCTCACCCAACCACGCGCAGCAGCTCCAGACTAGTCCCCCGTCTTCATTTAGACCTACCGTCTACCACCCAGCTCAAACCAAGCGGGGAAGAGGGGGTGGGAGGAATTGGGAGATTGGGATTGACATATATACACTACTATGTATAAAATAGATAACTAATGAGAACCTGCTGTATAGCACAGGGAGCTCTACTCAGTGCTCTGTGGTGACCTAAATGGGAAGGAGACCCAAAAAAGAGGGGATAGATGTATACGTTTAGCTGATTTACTTTACTGTACAGCAGAAACTAACACAACATTGTATAGCAACTATACTCTAATACGAATTTTAAAAAACTCATTGGGGGGCTTTCCTGGTGGCGCAGCGGTTGGGAGTCTGCCTGCTAATGCAGGGGACACGGGTTCGAGCCCTGGTCTGGGAGGATCCCACATGCCGCAGAGCAACTAGGCCCGTGAGCCACAACTACTGAGCCTGCGCGTTTGGAGCCTGTGCTCCGCAACAGGAGAGGCCGCGATAGTGAGAGGTCTGCGCACCGAGATGAAGAGTGGCCCCCTCTTGCCACAAGTAGAGAAAGCCCTCGCACAGAAATGAAGACCCAACACAGCAAAAATACATTAATTAAATTTAAAAAAAACAAAAAAACTCACCGGGTAGTAAAGTTCCTTCTTATTTCTACAAATTCGAAGAATAGCTGTTTCAAAGCATAAAGTACAAGAAAATGAAAGACCGAAGGACTGAATGCTAGAGTTTTGCAGGCGGGGTTTCAGCAGAGCGCACAGCCTCATCCCCCGGGAGGGTAGTAGGTATGCTACGCAGGGCCCACTGTGTGTTCCCCAAACTCCTCCCGGTTCTTCCGGAAGCACAGCCTTAGTGCGTTTCCCAGACCCTCGTACAGGGGTCACGTGACTGCGTTCTGGCCAATGGAAATAACGTACACCACTTGCAGGCCTGGCCTCTGATCATCAGCGTACACAGTCCTCCAAGTTCTGTCTTTTCCTCTGCCCGTCGTCAGATGAACAGAATTCAGGGGAAGACAAGGTCAACGGGCTGGAAGAGTCCCTCTGAGGGCATGTGTGGAAGAGTCCCCCGCTTCTTCCTACTGCACTCGTACTGGACTGTGACCAAGCAAGAACTTAGCCTCCACTGCGTTACACCCCCGAAGCTTGGGGTTGTCATAGAAGTTATTACACGATGAATAACACAGGTGTAAAGCGAGATGGTGGCCAGGAGCATAAGAAAGCAAGCATCCTTGATTTACAGTTGGCCGCTCATGCCACATTACTCTGTGTGGACATGAAAATAGCAAAATCAGAACCACAGACAGGGGACTTCCCTGGTGGTCCTGTGGTTAGGACTCCACGCTTTCACTGCTCGGGGATCCCCGGTCAGGGAACTAGATCCCGCGTGCCACAACTAAGACCCAGCACAGACAAATATATAAATATTAAAAAAAAAAACAAACCCACACAACATAGACAAAAAGTTACTAAGCCTATATATTGAGGTTCAGCTACAGTTGAATACCTTGGCGCTCATCTGCTTTTTCCTTCTAAGGTCTACACATCTGTGTCACCTTTCCCCAGACATGTAGCTGCTGCCTTCCCCTTGGGAACCAATTGTTCACATGTCCCCTCCACATTTCCCCTATGATTATGTAGCTTCATTATCCTGCATTCCTTTCCCAAGTTGTTAAAATTATTTTCTGTTTTTCATAAATTGTTGATAGCCACTTCTTTGACATTAATGAATCTGTAAGGGGAGGAAGATAAGCTCAGTTATTTCAGCATAAAAATAAAAGCCAGTTTTTAAGAAATTGTAATTTTGTTCTTGTTTAATATGTTCTTTTGTGTTTTTTTTTCCCTACCAGATATTGCAATATGTGATAATGGTCTGGTAATCAAAACCAGAATAATGATGATGCCACAATAGACCAATGGATTGAAATAGAAGACCCCAAAGCATGTAAGAAGCATAATAGAATACCCAGAAGTATATATAAATGCCGCTCTTTTCCTCGGAGATTTTTTTTTGGCCGTACCACGTGCCTTGCAGCATCTTTCCCGACTAGGGGTTGAACCTGGGCCACTGCAGTGAAAGCCCGGAATCCTAACCACTAGCCCAGGGAAGTCCCTATAACTGCCACTCTTGTGTGTACTTTTTTTTTTTTTTTTTTTTTGCCGTACACGGGCCTCTCACTGTTGTGGCCTCTCCCGTTGCGGAGCACAGGCTCCGGACGCACAGGCTCAGCCGCCATGGCTCACGGGCCCAGCCGCTCCGCGGCACGTGGGATCTTCCCGGACCAGGGCACGAACCCGTGTCCCCTGCATCGGCAGGCGGACTCTCAACCACTGCGCCACCAGGGAAGCCCTCTATATTCTTTTTTAAAACAACACAGTGTAACAGCAAAGCCACCAGAATGGCTTCCAATCTTTCCCGCCTCCTAGTTCACCCCGCACCATGTAATCCCCTCTTACTTTGTAGCAGGGTTGGTCTGTGTGGCCCTAGAACAGCAGGAGGGATGGCAGGTCCTCGGGATTTAGCTCACACTCCTCTTTTGGCTCCCTCGTTATGGGGAAGTAGGTCGTCTCGCGAGAGGACACTCAGGCAGCTCTGGAGGGGACCCTGTGACGAGGAACTGAGACCCACAGCCAGCAAGAACCCAGGCCTAACAATGAACAGGTAAGTGAGCTTGGAAGGCAGTTCAAGTGGCAGTTGAGCCAGTACCCAAGCTTGCATCCAGAGTCCTAAATCTCAGGAACCGTGCGAGACAACGAATGTTTGTTGCTTTGTGCTACTCTGACAAGTTTTGGGGTAATTTGTTACACATTAGATAATTCAACCACATAGCACATAAAATAAAATCAATAAAACTAATATGGGTCAATGATTAGTAAAGTACACGATTTGACAAGTTTTGACACTTCTGTTTCATCTTGTCTTCCTCAAAATTAATTCCTTTGAGTAAAACATGTGATTACCAGTGTAACTAAAGGATTATTTTCCATTTTATTAAACTCATTAAACAGTATTGCAGTGTATTTGCTTCTATTTAAAAACATGATATGACTCTGGGAAAAAAGCTACTTCAAATTAGCCTAAAAACTATTATTTCTTTCTGTCAATGTGTAAAAACATGATGATTGCTTAGTAGAAGTTCCTATGAGGTGGACTGACTTAAACATATATTTAAGCATAACATTCTAAACAAACAAGTTCTTTTGAAGTCCTTGAAGGTAGTTTTCTTTCTTGTGAACATCCCCCTTTATACTCCTAAGATTGTTTGCAATCTCTGTCATTATTCTTGGTAGAGTTATACTTCAACAGAGTAACTGAATGCTAACAGTTCTGAATTAGTGAAGCTCCAAATAAAGAAGCTTTATTATGTGTGAGGGTGCTGGAAAGGCTAAAACCCCAAGTTCTGAGTCAAAGCGATCATTCTGAGCAGCCTGTGTCTCTGCCAGGGTTACAGCACCAGCGTTCTCCATGCTTCACTGAGGTTGGAATCCAGATATTGGTACTGAATTGTCTCAATCTGGTCACAGTGGTCGTTTTACTTTCCCACTCATTTTCCCTCAATTAGAATGACTAAGGATAATTGATTTTTCCATGTAGAAAAAGAATGAAAGTGAATCTCTGTTTCACAATATTAAAAACAAAAACAGAAACCCGAGTGAATCAAGGGCTTATGTGTGAAAGGCAGAACCTTAAGCATTTTGGAAGCAGATGGAGATTATCCTTATGACCTTGGAAGAATTTCTTCATTAAAATACAAAAATCGCAAATCGCGAAGGAAAAGATTAGAAAATTTGACTACATTGTGAACTTCTCTCTCTCTCTCTCTCTCTCTCTCTCTCTTTCTCTTAAGTGTTATATTATGAAGGAGAATTTTTAGGGAGAATAATGTGACTTAATAAGCTTCATTATTTTGGCAATTCTGGTGCAGATCGTAGTAATACAGAGTCAGAGATCTGGCTCCAAGATCACTTTTTGTGTGTGTGTGATTCTTGGTTTTGATGCCTGTCATAGCCTTAATTTTCTCATTCATATTTTTCTTATATCCTGAATTTTCTCAATTATTGTTTTCTTTTTGTACTTTAGTATCTTTGTAAATTACATCAAAACTAAGGGGGTAGGTAATAAATAAGTTGAACAAAACATTAGATTCGGTTTATCCTGCCAACAGATAAGTATTTCTAACCCGAGCCTTCAAAACATGATAAAAATTTTATAGTAAACAATGGAGGGGCTTCCCTGGTGGTGCAGTGGGTAAGAATCCGCCTGCCAATGCAGGGGACATGGGTTCGAGCCCTGGTCCAGGAAGATCCCACATGCCACGGAGCAACTGAGCCCGCACACCACAACTACTGAGCCTGTGCTCTAGGACCTCTGTGCCACAACTACTGAGCCTCTGTGCCACAACTACTGAAGCCTGCACACCTAGCATCCCTGCTCCGCAACAAGAGAAGCCACCGCAGTGAGAAGCCTGTGCACCGCAACGAAGAGTAGCCCCACTCGTCACAACTAGAGAAAGCCTGTGCACTGCAAAGGAGACCCAGTGCAGCCAGAAATAAACAAACAAATAAATAAACAAATATTTAGAAAATGGATAATTTATGGAGACTTTCTGGCAATACTGAATGCAAATACAGGTAAATCTTCTCCAACTAACTCAGTTTTGGAACATCTAAACATCCTATAATCTCAGAGACACAACACCATACCCATCAGTAATAGATAATACTTTCTAGTTGTCTAAAGATTCAATTTGTCAAATCATCTCGTTAATTTTTATCAGGTTGGGTCTTGCATTGCATTTGCTAAATTGGGAGAATAACAGACTCAGACTCTACCTGCAGTTCCTGTAAGCTCTCTCAGAATACAAAGGAGCATGGGGCCCCACTTTTGTTCCTCCCAATTCAATCCTGTTATGCGATGCAGAAGTTACAAAGCTTTCATCAGCAATTACTGACTACTCTTTTTTAATTAATTTTTATTGGAGTATGGTTGCTTTATAATGCTGTGTTAGCCTCCACTGCACAACAAAATGTATCAGATATCATACATATACAGATATCCGCTCCCTTTTGGACTTCCCTCCCATTTAGGTTACCACAGTGCACTAGGTGAGTTCCCTGTGCTATACAGCATGTTCCCATCAGTTGTCCATTTTATACATTGTATCAATAATGTATATGTGTCAATCCCAGTCTCCCAATTGCTTCCACCCCACCCCTTTCCCCCTTGGTATCCATACATTTCTTCTCTGTATCTGTGTCTCTATTTCTTCTTTGCAACTAAGATCATCTGTGCCATTTTTCTAGATTCCACATGTATGCAATAATATATGATATTTGCTTTTCTCTTTCTGACTTCACTCTGTATGACACTCTCTAGGTCCATCCATGTCTCTACAAATGACCCAATTTCATTCCTTTTTATGGCTGAGTAATATTCCATTGTATATGTATACCACATCTTCTTTATCCATTCCTCTGTCAATGGCCATTTAGGTTGCTTCCATGTCCTGGCTATTGTAAATAGTGCTGCTATAAACATTGGGGTTCATGTGTTTTTCTGAACTATGGTTTTCTCTGGGTATATGCCCAGTAGTGGGATTGCTGTGTCATATGGTAGTTCTATCTTTAGTTTTTTAAGGAACCTCCATACTGTTTTCCATAGTAGCTGCATCAATTTACATTCCCACCAACAGTGCAGGAGGGTTCCCTTTTCTCCACACCCTCTCCACCATTTATTGTTTGTAGATTTTTTGATGATGGCCATTCTAACCCTTGTGAGGTGTTACCTCATTGCAGTTTTGATTTATATTTCTCTGATTAGTGATTCTGAGCATATTTTCATGTGTTTGTTGGCCATCTGTATGTCTTCTTTGGAGAAATGTCTATCTAGGTCTTCTGCCCATTTTTTGATTGGGTTGTTTGTTTTTTTGATATTGAGCTGTATGAGCTGCTTGTATATTTTGGAGATAATCCTTCTTCAGTTGCTTTGTTTGCTTTGTTTGTTTATGGTCTCCTTTGCTGTGCAAAAGCTTTTAAGTTTAATTAGGTCCCATTTGTTTATTTTTTATTTTTATTTATTTTTTTACATCTTTATTGGAGTATAATTGCTTTACAATGGTGTGTTAGTTTCTGCTTTATAACAAAGTGAATCAGTTATACATATACATATATTCCCATATCTCTTCCCTCTTGCGGCTCCCTCCCTCCCACCCTCCCTATCCCACCCCTCCAGACGGTCACAAAGCACCGAGCTGATCTCCCTGTGCTATGCAGCTGCTTCCCACTAGCTATCTACCTTACGTTTGGTAGTGTGTATATGTCCATGCCTCTCTCTCGCTTTGTCACAGCTTACCCTTCCCCCCCCATATCCTCAAGTTCATTCTCTAGAAGGTCTGTGTCTTTATTCCTGTCTCACCCCTAGGTTCTTCATGACATTTTTTTCCTTAAATTCCATATGTATGTGTTAGCATATGGTATTTGTCTTTCTCTTTCTGACTTACTTCACTCTGTATGACAGACTCTAGGTCTATCCACCTCATTACAAATAGCTCAATTTCGTTTCTTTTTATGGCTGAGTAATATTCCATTGTATATATTTGCCACATCTTCTTTATCCATTCATCCGTTGATGGGCACTTAGGTTGTTTCCATCTCCGGGCTATTGTAAATAGAGCTGCAATGAACATTGTGGTACGTGACTCATTTTGAATTATGGTTTTCTCAGGGTATATGCCCAGTAGTGGGATTGCTGGATCATATGGTAGTTCTATTTGTAGTTTTTTAAGGAACCTCCATACTGTTCTCCATAGTGGCTGTATCAATTTACATTCCCACCAACAGTGCCAGAGTGTTCCCTTTTCTCCACACCCTCTCCAGCATTTATTGTTTCTAGATTTTTTGATGATGGCCATTCTGACTGGTGTGAGATGATATCTCATTGTAGTTTTGATTTGCATTTCTCTAATGATTAATGATGTTGAGCATTCCTTCATGTGTTTGTTGGCAGTCTGTATATCTTCTTTGGAGAAATGTCTATTTAGGTCTTCTGCCCATTTTTGGATTGGGTTGTTTGTTTTTTTGTTATTGAGCTGCATGAGCTGGTTATAAACTTTGGAGGTTAATCCTTTGTCAGTTGCTTCATTTGCAAATATTTTCTACCATTCTGAGGGTTGTCTTTTGGTCTTGTTTATGGTTTCCTTTGCTGTGCAAAAGCTTTGAAGTTTCATTAGGTCCCATTTGTTTATTTTTGTTTTTATTTCCATTTCTCTAGGAGGTGGGTGAAAAAGGATCTTGCTGTGATTTATGTCATAGAGTGTCCTGCCTATGTTTTCCTCTAAGAGTTTGATAGTTTCTGGCCTTACATTTAGGTCTTTAATCCATTTTGAGCTTATTTTTGTGTATGGTGTTAGGAAGTGATCTAATCTTATACTTTTTCATGTACCTGTCCAGTTTTCCCAGCACCACTTATTGAAGAGGCTGTCCTTTCTCCACTGTGCATTCCTGCCTCCTTTATCAAAGATAAGGTGACCATATGTGCGTAGGTTTATCTCTGGCTTTCTATCCTGTTCCATTGATCTATGTTTCTGTTTTTGTGCCAGTACCATACTGCCTTGATTACTGTAGCTTTGTAGTATAGTCTGAAGTCAGGAAGCGTGATTCCTC